GGGGCTCGTTTGGAGCAGAACTCAATGGGTTAAAGCCGTGGCGAAGGGGTGGTTTCAGATGCTTTTTTGGGAGGCTGGTTAATGGTGGAAAATGCTAGCAAACAATCCAGAGAGCAGGCAATGAAACGCTCCGCACGGGCACGGACCTCGACACCGGAAAGAAACGACGATTCCAGAAGAGCAACCTTTAAAAGGACGACTGAAACCCCTGTTCGAAAAACCCTCGCAATGCCAACCAGTGGAGGAAAAGCCGGACCTGAGAATCCGGGGTCGGCGGCAGGGGCGGCAGCCCTTAAATATATATATATATATATTTATAAATACCGTAGTATCAATTACATTAAATAACTCAGCTTAAATGTTCTGACAATCCTTCACATGAACCACACTGGACAAATGAATGCCTGGTGCCTAGTGATGTCATGCGCTTTGATTCTTGATGTGTTCAAGTTTCCAATCCGTTCAGGGCGAGTCGGCTGCGAGTAGTTGTTGAATCTGATCTACATCGAACACTTATATGACACATACTTATACAAGTACACCCAGAAAGTTGTTCAACCGGGAACCATTCGACTAGACTGGTTTTCAGGTTCAACGCGGCGGTTCTCTTCCGCGCTACGCGACCACCAGCCACATCCGTCGCCCCTGGGCGGCGGACGTGGCCATGTCCCCAGCGCAGGGTTTTTGAGGTCTTGGAGGACCGGCCGAGCCGATCTGTCTGATACATCAACTAAACGTTATCACATGTTTGGATCATGTTTGTCAATCCTCTAGTCCATGGGCATTCGGTCACAGGTTGTGAGGACAGACCACTCCAAAGCTGAGCGCTTTTGTTCCAGCTGAGCGTCTCTTCGTGGCATTCACCCTTTGGAACCAAAGCTCACAGCGACCCCGCGAATATTCCACCGCCTCGTCTCGAAGGGCGAGCGAAGCGAGGAGGCCGTGGCCAGCGAAGCTCGGGACGGCGAGGATCGAAGCGAGCTCGGGCGAGCCGCGGGAAGAGGCCCAGCGATCCATGTGATGTGGCGACTGGTTTAGGCCATGGATGAAAACCGACACCGACTCCAGCTTTCCATCCAGAAGAAGGACATGTGGTTTGCGATGCTATTTACTGTATACATGTATACGCTATCCTAGTGTGGAAAAGCTCAAACCGACACGGACGGTTTGCGCGTCGCCGATGCATCACACACAGGGACAGAGGAGAGGCCACCCGGACTCGAAGAGTGGATGGGTGCGATGGACTCTGCGTCCAGATTCGGAGCAGGAGCAGCCACAAAGCAAAAACATGGGTGGAGACACCGCGTCCAGATGGAGACAAAGAAATAATGAACTGAAGAACAGCAAAGTGGCTTTGCATCCATAGACTTTGCGGCACTCTTGTTCGCAGTCCTCCAACGACCCAAGCGGCCTAGGAACGCATTCAGGCGATTAAACACATGGAAAATGACTGAACAAAAAGAACACAAATCATTGTTGGTCTCAAGGGTGTTCCATGGTCCCATCATGTCCCATCCTATTGGAACAGTTTCCCTTTGACCAGGGAGGAATTGGTTGAAAGAGACCTGTCCCTCCAGTCCCTCCAGTTGTCCAAACGCCCCAGGATCGGCCAATGTCAGATCGGGCATGTGTGGAACACGGTGGGCAACCGGGCTGTTCTTTTCAAAAAAAAAGATGGTGCTAAACCAAAAAAAACAAACTGTTGAAAGAACATCTTCAGCACATCCATGTCGCTTCACTTCATAGTTGCGCGGGTGGTTGTCGTTCACTGTTTTGCCGCGGCAAGCACAATCTGTGCCACCATCAATGGGCTGAAAAGTGGAGTTCAGTGCAGGTCCCTTGGAGTAGTAAAAGTTTTGACGTTCCTCCAGGCTGGCGTTCTCCGGCAACTCCGCGTACGCGCCTTGACAAGGGTGAGAACACCCATGGAGTCGTTGCGCAAAGAATGGTCACTCAAAGTTTCAGGAGTTCGTAGTATGACTTAAAACTCACAATAAGAATGTTATTTACACAAACAAAAGAACATGTCAATTCAACGCGGCATCAAGAATACTTAGTAGTGTACGTACTTTGTTTGACGTTAATTTAGAACGCCTGCACATGCCAGTTGGCCTCAACTCGGTAGCAAAACATGGTAACTGCATTGACACAAGCAAATAAACCATAAATAAACCTTTACATGACACCCACAAACCGCATACAATTAACTTATATAACTTGAGGACCTCGTCAGCATCAATCAGGGGTGAGAAACGGAGACATGTCGAAACGGCCCGACGGTTGCAAAGGACAACCACTGCGAACATCGGTGGAACTAAGACACATGTTCTTAGCCTCAGACATCCTCAGACTATAAGGAACAACGGAAAGAACATGGACGGACAACATACACAAACACGGATATGAACCAAACATTGAACACATGTTGGAGGTATTGAAGTCCTTCTCACTTGATATTCTAAGCATTTGCTCGTCTTATATGAACAAAGCTAATAACTATTGATTGCATCTATTGCTAGAATAACGCGTGAACCACCCTTACCCTCTCCGGCAAATCCTCCTGCAAGGACAACATAGGACAACGGTGTGCAAAACAAGGAAACCGAAGGCACACAAGATCACACAAGTGTGAACCCACCCACCATAAATAAAGCAGATCAGTTACAATTCAGACGTGCCACAGCAGGCAGCTGTAAAAAATCAAACAAAACACCTACAAGGTGGAAAACCCTAGGGTGCCTTGACAAACAGGAAAAACGGCAAAACAATGTGTGAACGTGTGTGCCACACTCACCCGTTGCCGTCTGCACCCAACCATCTTGTAATGTTTGTCTGCGCGGCAGGCCGGGACGATCCATGGAATACGGACACAACCATGATTCAAACATACACAAAAAATGGTGGGATCTATTTCGATCCGTTCCAAGTGTGTCCCTTTTTAAAGGTGTCAATTGATGTCCAAATTGCGTGGTTTTGCTTAAGATCTTTTAAATGTTGGCGTTCCCAAGTCTAAATGATTGTCTGCCACCATACTTTAAGTTGAGGACAGGTGACAAGTGGTTCGATCACACCGTGATATCCACATTATCATACAATGCTTCCTGGAAAGTCATAAGCAAAGGGTCAACTGGGTGGATGACGTGTGACAAAATCTGTGATCTGTGTCTGACTTGATGCAGTTCATCTGTTAGACAGGGAAACCACGTGACAGGCAAAGACCAACCACCAACCATAGACGACATCATCCGTCATCCGTTCTGCAGTTCGGCGCCACCACGGGTCGGACGGCACCAGCGGCACCAGCGGCATCCGTCGGACCTGGCCTGGATTGGCCAATCGATGGCTGTCGACCATGATCTCCTCAATCACGAAGGCTCTGTGGACGGTGCGATGTCAATCCGAAGTGGATGAGTTCTGAGGACAACCCCCAAAAGAATATCCACAGTTTCACACACAAGGTGTCTGGGGACAGTTTCTAAAAGCGTTTTTTTCCTTTTTGAAAAGTAACGTGTTGATTCTTGATGGGTTCCTCCACATACCGGGTTACCAGATTTTACGCACATTTCGCCACCGCCCAAACAATCAAAGCACACTTCTACTCTTTTTCCACTTCCTGTCGAGCTCACTTCAGTCGCTTCAGCATGCAGAAGCTATCCGCGGAGGCCAGCACACCGGACCTCTTCCCGCTTGGCTTTCTCAAGCACTGCCTTGGCGGCTGCGCGGGTGTCTTGCTGGCCAAGTCAAGCAAGTGTCTTGGTGTGAAGTCCTCATTTTGAGGAATCCACACCTTTTTTTTCTCTGCGGGTCAAAAAAGAGATACCCTTTGTAGATCCAAATAGACCGC